GGGGTTTAAGTGGAGAGAAAATGTTTTGAGAATGATGAGGGCAATGAATGTACAAATGTGCTTTACACAATTGATGTGTGTATGGATTGTGGTAAGAGTTGTATGAGCCCCTAATAAAATGATTTTTTTTAAAAAGTCATTTATTAGAAAAATACCTACTGAGCACTTGGGACATGGCAGGCATTGTTCTCATCAACAGGAACAAAGGTGCGGAGGGGGGGGAGTGAGGAGGGAGGAGGGGTGGAGACAATAGAATATAAATGAAAGAGAGCAAGTGCCCCTGTCCTTACAAAGCATACATTCTCTTTAGATGTCCGACTTTCATCTTGGCTAGGGGAATGATGTGTGAAATGTATGCACAATGCTTAACACAGCAGTGCTTGGGAGGCAAACATTCAATAAATGTTCACTATCATCATGACCTATTGTTGTGTTGTATGCAAGAGGGTACATTTGTTGAATAGAAGAGTATGCCCCCAAACAAAAACCCAAGGCCATCGGGTCGATTCCAACTCATAGTGACCCAATAGGACAGTGTAGAACTGCCCCTGAACCTTTCTGGGTCTGTAAATCCTTATGAGAGTAAAAAGCTTTATCTTTCTCCCTTGGTGGTTTCGAACTGCTAACTTTTGAGGTTAGCAGCCCAACTCATAACCCACTATGCTATCAGGGCTCCTAGGTCCCCAAAGGACATATCAATGTCATTTTGGTTTTAGAACTAGAACCCCCATGGAAGAACATCGTCTATATTAAGAGACAAACCCAGGTAAAACTGAAGGGAAATTTTTGATAATCAAGATTATCAATAGAAGCACAGAGCTAGTCTACTCAAAAGCATTAACCTGTCAAACCCAAGAACGACATTTTCCCCTCTGCTTGATCACAAGGACAGATGGGTTTCTTTCATGCTTTGCTGTATTCGGTTGGCCCCAAATATCTAGGTTTCAGATCTCTTCCTTTTTATCTATCTTTGAAGGCCTGGGAGGAAAGCAATGGGGAAAGGAAAGTAGAAAGGAATGAAGTTAACCATCAAAGTGTACCCTTAATGGTTATGCCGTCCAACCTGCAAGAGACAGCCTTTGATGAAAGGGCCATGCGGTAGGTAGAGAGGCAAGCAGAAGAGGTGTGGGAGGAAGTGGGGGGAGATCCATAGATCTATAGCTATATAGGTCTGACAGAGGAGATACATTTCTTTTACCTTTGCTGCAAAGACCTCCATGAATGTGGTGGAGCACATGGGGGGAGAGTTACGAGCACTTCTTAGCCATAACCAAACCCCAAATGCATTGAGGCCGGAGGCTCGGACCAGTCTCGGTGGACACCATGGTCAGGTGGCATAACATAGTTCACAATGTTCTCCAGTCTATTTTGATGAGTAGCAACAGGGTCTTAAAGCTCATGAGTGGCCATCTCCCTCTACAATCCCTCCCTATTGGTCTGTCCCTGTATGGAGGAAAGAAGAATGGTGGAATGGAAAGACCCAAGGAAACAATTCATCCACTGGACTAAAGGACCACACAGACATCACTCTCCACAACCCTGACACCAGAACGACTA